AATAAAGCGGATATTAAAATATTAATAAAATTTCAGGAACTTTTACAAATCACTTTAACAACGTTATAAAAGAGTATTTTATAAAAAGTATAACATTATGAAAAATGTTACGTAAAAACGTTACGTAAAAACGTGCGTTAATTTTAAAATCAATTAACTATAAAAGAAACTTAAAAAGAAACTTATCGTAAAAAAGGCAAAGAAATCTTCATTAAAAAAATAACGGAAAATGAATAATAAACTATTACATTAAGATTATTTAGATTACGTTTGGAATAAATAACTTTGAATCGTTTATCTTTACTTATGTTTTTATAATATAATATTATGCGAAATCCTTTTTAAATAGAGTAACAATTTACATTTAGCGATTATTTGATGAATGCGCACATTTACAAGTTAAAAAAAAAGATTCTTAACAATTCTTTGCAGTAAGGTAAACAAAAGAAAAAATGTTTAATTTGTTTATTTAAAAAGACATATATATTATTCATTAGTATTTTTATAAAAAACCCTTATCAGTGATTCGCTACTTTATTTAAATGCGTTTCATCATTATAAAAACATAAGATTAAACTTCAAACAGCTTTCAAAAAAGTTTTTTTTTTTCTTCTTAAAATCTTTCTACTTTTCAAGTGAATCAACTTTAATAATTCTTATATAAAGTTTATTAAAGAGATCATCGCTGTTTAAAGTTGTATCTTATAAAATTAAAAAAATTTTTATTTAATTTTAATTCTTTATTTATTTTAATTATAAAAAAAACTTTATTAATAAAGATAAAGGTTTTAAAGTTGTTTTAAACATTATTACATTTATTTTTAACTTAATTAAATTTATTTTTAATTTAATTAAATTTATTTTTAACTTAGTTAAAACCCATTTTTTTCAGCCCATTTGTTAATAACCATAGTTAAATCGTCGAAACAAAATATTATTTGCATGGTCGTATAAAGGCTTGAAATTGCATGCCTTCTTGGCCAAGCTTATAATGTAGACCACATGGGTAAAACCACAGGTGTCATATTTTTCTCATTTTGAGAAAAAAGAAATTTAGTGTTCAGTGAAATTAGATATCTGTTTATTAATAATTTGTTTAATTAAAAGTATATTTTTCTGACATTTTAGTCCTTATACAATATAAAAATGCAGTTTTTGTACTAAATACATGTACTATTTATTCACAGTGTTCTTTTGAAAACTAGACACTAATTTTGGACATCTGTGGTTTTTCCATTGTAAACTCATCAAGTCATAAATTACGTTAGCTTGTAACCTTTTAGAGCACTTATTTTTTTAAAGGTAGATAGTAACACATTGTAATATACAACTTCAACGTACTAAGTGTGTGATGGGATAATAAAGCCATCCCCCCCCCCCCCTCTTTTAATAAAAAAAATTCAAACAAAATATTATGTGAAAGTTTTTTTTACTTTATACAAAATAGCATTGCAACCTTATCTCTTCCCCAACCTCATCTATTTACCACAGATGATTCCATGATGTCTGTGTTCCATCACTTTTATATCAAGTTTGTATAAATTAGAAACAAAATATTTTATATCAAGTCTGTAAAAAATATTTTGTTTTTAATTTGTCTTATTTTGTACATTCAGAAAATGTTTAGATTTAGTAAGTCTTTAAATTTTTAACAAATAAAGGTAACAGCTATGTATGCTTGTTTCAGTTTATCAGGCACTTCAATCATTGATCTAAACATATAGGATGTAACACACATAAAATTAAATATTTTTCCATATAATTAAACTTTAACTTTTAATATTTCATAACCTTTAAAATTTCAATTTCTCTAAGTAAGTCTTAAATAAACAAACAACCAAGAAGTTTGGTATTGAAACTCTGCAAATTTCAGAAATTTTTCTTGTATCATGTTTATATACAATATTGAATTGTTATGGTTTTTGTGAGATCGTCTAGTGTTTCTGCAAGAAACTTTTGATTTGCAATGGCCAATGTTTCTGTCACATTTTTAAGAGGTGTAATGCCTATACATGTGACAGTTCTAATTTGTAATGAAACAGTAATGCTGTCAAGTTTTTCAGTTTTATAAACTAGATAATAAAATCAAATTTAAACTTTTCATTTTGTATTTTGCCTAGCTCATAAATTGCAAATCAATTTGATATCCTTTACACTTGGGATAACTGATAATTTTAAATCATGCAGCATAGAACATACAATATCAGACCATCTGTTTCCAACAGTTTCATCATAGCAATAAAAATATATTTTTTGAGTTGAAAGTATATTAGTGTTAAAAAAATAAAACAGATATTGCCTGGAATAGTATACATATTGGTTTCAAACGTTTAGGCATTTTTTTTTTTTTTTTTTTTTGAAATTAAAGCAAACTACTTCACAATTAAAAAGATTATAATCAGAATATTATTGAGTCCGCTTTCTTCTTTTTTAGAATACAAAAGGTACGCCTTATAAATTAAAATAATTCAAGAAAAAATTTTTGTCATTATAAAAAAAAACTTATTTTATATATATATAAAGTAAGTTTATATATATATATATATAGATATATATATATATATATATATATATATATATATATATATATATATATATATATATATATATATATATATTTAAAATGTTTTTCTGTGAACGTTATGTTTACTTAATCCGAAAAGTTAGTCGTGTGACGTTTTTATTATCATTGGTTTAGTAATAAATAAGACATCTGTGTTTTTTACGCGGTAAACATTGGACAACAGTGGTTGCTTCAAAGTTGCCCTTTTTTTTAAATGCCCATAGAACCTTAAAACATAGTTTTTTTGTTATGAATTTTTAAATTAAAAAAGCTTAGTACTAAAATATCATAAAAATATATAAAACTTGAAATTTTCAAAAAGTGGTATATATATATATATATATATATATATATATATATATATATACATACATATACATATACATATATATATACATATATATATGTACATACATATATATATACTATATATATATATATATATATATATATATATACATATACATATATATATACATATACATATATATATACATATATATAATATACTATACTATAGTATATGTAATATATTCATATATATATATATATATACATATATATATATATACATATATATATATATACATATATATTATATATAATACATATATATATATATACATATATATATATACTATACATATATATATAGATATACATATATATATATATATATACATATATATATATGTACATATATATATACATATATATATATATATATATACATATATATATATACATATATATATACATATATATAAACATATATATATATATACATATATAATATATATATACATATATATATATATACATATATATAATATATAAATATATATATATATACAGTATCTATATATATATATAATATATATATATATATATTACATTTATATATACTATATATATATATACATATTATATATATACATATATATATATATATATATATATTACATATATATATACTATATATATATATATATATATATTATACACAGTATAATATACATATATATATATCATTAAATATATATATATATATGTAGATTAT